GGTTAGTAAAGGGATATCTCTCCTACGCCATAAGTGATGTAGGTTTGAAAAAGTCAGTCAAGCCTTCTGTTACCGAGGTGAGATTTCTCCACACACCAGGCCATCAGAACTAATGACACTCCTGAGAAAATTTCAGGAGGAAAACCGCTAGCATGCTTGCATTGTTGCTTAAAGCGGTCAAAACTATCAACATTTTACCTGCCACAATATTTTATTTCATAAATTTTATGGTCGGTTATATTACCCGACTAACTGAATGTAAGCTGATTAAAGTATAAAATGCGAAAAGGTTGTATAGGTAAAATAAATGCAATGATGAGCAATAACAGAAATGCACTGGTCACAAAAATTATTTCAAAAGACAGAGAAATAAGTATTTACGATAACATTTCACTCATTGACGCAAAGGAAAATCACCAATGGAATATGCGAAATTTTGAAATCAATTTAAAAATCTTTGACACTATTTATAGTCATTTCAGAAACGAGTGATTGTCTTGTCCCTATTTTCTTCGATAAAAGTAATCATTCAGATGTTTCTTGTGAAGCGATCGCTAGTTTGAAAACAGGCTTTAAAAAATATTTATGGACAAACAGGAATTTTTGGAAAAATAAAACAATTTCATTTCTATGATTAGCAAATAATTAAAGCATTCTAATATAATCATCAACACAATCTAACAGAGACACTATTAGTAGAGGTGTATAATGGTTAGCACAGGCATCCAGGACGCGCGTTCCGCCTCATCTAGGGCTTGTCAGCTGAATGTACCTGCATCTCAGAGTTGATGATTCCTCCGGGACTCAAACCCACTATCTTACGCTCCAGATGTCATCGCTAGAAATGCTCGTATGCCAAAGGGACTGATCGATTGCAATCCTTAACATTACCAATACGAATGAATTAATCTTTACCCCATCGCACAAACAAGGGGCTATCTGCTTAGTATCTAAGTAGATAACTCAGTGGCGTTCGAAGCGTATGGCACTGGGTTCGTGAATGATCAGTTAAGTTGTATTTCACCTTAATCGCTTGGTATAATGTTTCTATTTTAATCAAAATATTAAAAATATGAAGAATTTTAACAGCTTGATATATTTAACAGTATTTCAGTTATCAAATAACATTATACTGAATGAAACCACGGAACTTCAGATAGTTGTTTTACTCTTATCAGTAGTATGCACTCAACAAGTTTTACAGAACTGGGCCAGAAACATTTAAACTTCATGACGAGTAAAATATCACTAGGGAGTCAAATCACAATTTATAACCTTACTTTATTATAAATAATGTGTGCCAGCTGATCAGTCAACAAATATATTAAATACGTCAGTTCAGAGTATGAGAATATTTTATTCACAAAATCAGAATCTAAAAGCAACCCTTCAGTGTTTAGAAATAAGTGATGTATCTTATGTAACCATCAATTTTATGTTATAGTATTATGGAGATCGTTGTTTTTATACACTGAAATTATGAATGAATGATTGTTAGACCACCAGTAGAAACCTGAAAGTATTAGATGGCCATTTCGTCCTGGTATAGGATTTATCAGCAGTGTGTATCCACGACTCCTGACTCTTGCAGGATCCGAACCCAGGAACTTCGGCCTTGCGCACGAACGCTTAACCTCTGGACAACTGAGTCGGCATCCAACAGTGTTAATGTGCTCACTAATAACTAAATTCGTGGGGTGATTCTCGGAGTTTTAGTGAAAAAACATGACCAGTAGAGTTAAACCCCGTCGGGTGTAGGTAGTAGCTACCAAAGACAAATGGGTACAGTTGCACAAAGTCTGATCACAGCTAGACATAACACTGTTGCATACCGGCTCAGTGGTCCATAGGTTAAGCATTCACGGGCAGGACCGACGGTCCTGGGTTTGAATCCTGTGGGTAGCAGGAGTCGTGGATGAGCACTGCTGATGAGTCCCATACCAAGATGAAATGGCCGTTCAATGTTTCCAGCTTATTAATTGTGTTCTAAAAATGATTCATTCATGAATTCAATATTTGAATTTTATTCTGATTGAATAAAGACTCATTTCCATCAGTTATTCAGCTGAAAAACATAAGCCCGAATTTAGTCTGTCTTTTGACCAAGACTAGACCTAATTCATACGGCTAAAATTGTTTATAGATTCAGTAACCGACCGGTTCATCTTTGTGAATGGTTTTTGTGTCATTTATGTTTACAGGGTCAACCCCTTCCTGATATATGTTATACAAATCAGTTCAAAACCCATACACACATACAAAAAATCTTATAATTGGAGTAGACATTTCTGTCCTATGCAGATCAGATTTTATATTTGGGGGAATAGGTCAGAAATGTTAGTTGATTTAAAAAAAAAAAATTTTTAGCATATGTTTTTCATAGGATAGGATTTTTTCGTCATACCGGCCAATCAAATTATTGAATTGTAACCATTCCTCCATCAAACAACCCTACATCAGTGAATGAAAAAATAGTGTGTTGCTTTAGGATTTGCTAGTGCTAGATTCACGTACATCACATACTGAATAACAGTAACATTTCAAGGTACTTAGTTATTGGAAATTAGCAAGCTATAGTGGTTTCAATGAAAATGTACTTATAGTATTGTTACAAACTTAGCAATATTAAAAGTATAGATGTTCTCGGTTTTAATTATGTGATACTAACTAAATTCTATTGTGATAACTTTATCTTAACATTCTGGAGAAACTAGATGAGTAACTTAAATAATTCTCTTAAAAAATAATTATTTTGAAAATGTAGAAGATAGTAGATAGATCACTTTACACAGAGCATTTTGTGAATACAGTAACATTCAGGTTATCTTGGATACCATCACTCAGTAAAAATTTGTGTTAACATGAACCAATTTGATGGTTGCATTTAAATGTCATAATCATACCTGTATCTGTTATCTTTGAAGACAGGCTACTCTTGGGTTTCAACAAAAGAACGATTGTTGCTATTCGAACTTCATAAATTTCACTGATGGTTATTCTTACAGACTAACTTTTCGGGAGTCACCAGTGTATAAATCACATGTGTAATGAACGGTAATGTTAACTAGTAAAATGATATGTACAAATCGGTTTCAGTGGATGTTAGGGATGTTAGATCATCAGAACTCGCTTGATAAATATCTTTATTTTAGATTTGTTTCATGGACCGATCAGTTGACCTTGAGATCACACTTCTCACCAGAAAAATCCTTGGCAATGATTGGTTACTGTGTCATTTTAGTGTGCTATTTTTGCGACTGTCCCAACGACGTCTCTATAGAGTATAAATAAACGCAATTTGAGTGCTTTGATTCATTGTGTGCTGGCTGGGTGTTTGTAGAATACACTTTCTACGCTATATCAAGACTTCTTGCTGGTACAGTTGGGTTAAGGGATCACAGTAGCCTACCTGGACACCGGTTCATTGATTTGTTCTCGTTATTCGACTAAGGTGAACTCGTAATAGTTTAAACATACCTAAAGACGAGCGTAACAAAAACTTTGCACTTATTATTATATTTGATAGTTTAATAGATGAAATATCATTATCACCTCTCTTTAAAATTACTATCTAGTTAAGAATATATTTTCCTTTGTATCCTAATGACTGAATGAATTAATGTTCGTTGAGTTTTAAATGGATCATTCTAAGTTTTAATTGAATGCCACGGAATAACGATTCATTAGAATTGTTCGTTAGCTAGTTATTCTTTGCTGATACTAGGCGTAGACAATACCATATGGTAAATTGGCCGAGTATTAAAAAATTCAACAAATTATTACTGAATCGCTGGTTGAATGTTAATATTTTTAATATGGAATTTTAAAATTAGATTTTCTATCCTGTTTTCAGGCTAATGATGCACACTACTGAAGAGTCCCATACCAAAATAAATTATTTATATAGTTTCCTAATTTTTAAGCATCGTGTTCTGCTAAAATTCTGCTAGAAATTAGTGAATTTCGATAAACGTTAGGCGGAATATGTAGAAAGTCACAACATTAAATGTAGTGAAAAATCGAAAGAAATTTCTTCTCCATGACCTTACCCTAAAGCCTAATTACTAATACACCATTTAGAAGTTGACGGTTATATTACTATTTTAAATGGCTTGAAGAGTTTTGGGAACTAACAGTAGGATATCCATGTTACTAATGCATAAAAATTCTATGGAAAAATAAATGGAGGATAATAAGGGATTAGTAGCGAAATACCATCCTAACCCGACTAAATTATCGTTTTTCTAGAGGAAGAAACAACGGAGGGTCCAAAAATTTTAGCCAACAGGAATCGATTAAAGCAGCTAGTTGATCTCACCCAATCGAGACAAAGTAAACACATTTTTAAAGATTATACTATGATTTTGTTAGTGAAATCCTATGACAGTTACCATTTTGTAGACTATGACCATTGTTTGTAAGAGGAAGTTTAGAAGTGACATTAAAATATGAAATGAATTGAGCGCTGTCGTAAACAAAAGGTAGACATTCCTTCAAAAGACTGCAGTATAATTTAAGTAAGTGGTATTTTTTTCTTTATTTTACGAATAATATGTTGTAACTTACTCCATCTTTCTTCTGTAAAAAATAAGATAACAGTTCTCAGTGTTAGTGTAATACCAGGTTTCAGATCCAGCTCAGGAATTTGGAAAATATCAAAAATATAACGACTACATTTTAGTTTAATGTACTAAGTTGCGACGCGACGACTTGATTTAGGAATGTTAGTTCTCTTTGTAGAGGGCTTAGTGTATGATTTCACTCTTCATTAATGATCAGAAATTTTACATAAGGTTTTAATTTCTTCAAAGGTAGAGTGAAAAACCGTCATCTTATAATCTGATGTAATAAAGTGATCAATGTAGCTTAAACAGTTTGAACTCATGATATCACTAAGTTTTACCAAATATAGTTTAGTTTATCTCTATCCTACGTGAACAGTTCATTGACATGTGGATGCAATGTCATACAGATACATGTAAAGTTTATCAAATACTTACTTCATAAATGACAGTTCCAACTGATGTATTTTCAGCTACACTGATATTATATACAGTGAATGAGAATCTGGGTTCGTTATCATTCATATCAGCTACTTCAATATCGATTTCCAGGCGAGATTCACGAGAAACTGTCTGACCATTCAATGTACTCTTTGAATCGATAACATTTGGACTGTAAGCAACTAAAACAAACCTATGTCTTGTTTCCACTTCTGCATCCAAATCTTCAGTCAATATTAAGCCAGGTTGACCTGAATTACTAATGTCCAATTTAAAAGGACTTTTAAAAGGAATGATTGAACTGGATCCATCATTATGCCATGATTCAAGTCGATAATTTATTCTGCTATGTTCAGCAAGCAGATCAATATCTCTAGCTTTTGGTAGATCAATTCTTCTGCCTGCTCGATAGAGTGCCTCTTTCAATCGTTTATGCCATCTTATCTGATCAAACTTTGGTCCATTGTCATTAAGATCATGTATACGAACTATGATGTGATGAACTGCTCGAAGACTTCCATCTCTTTGTACAGCATTAACATCAAATTGAACGGTCAGATCACCAGAACTATTACATTTGATCTGATCCACAACTGGTATTGATTTACTACGATTATTCTTAGATTTACCAGGTTCCAATTCTGCATTTGTTTAGAAATATACAAAGAAAATTAGAATAAAATTAAGTTCATCAGAATCAATGATATAAAGAGATAGAAAGTTCTACATATTCAGAACAAATTATTGATTATATTTATAGGTCAGTATCGGAATAAATTCATTACGTATTGTTTACAAACAGTTTTTAATCCCTAGATCAATCAGAGTTAATCATTAACACCGTTGGGTGCCGGCCCAGTGGTCCGATGGTTAGGCGTTCGCGCGCATTACCGAAGGTCCCGTGTTCGAATCCTGCGAGGTGCAGGTGTCGTGGACGCGCACTGCTGGTCAGTCCTATACCAGGAAGTCATGGCCGCCCAGTGATTCCAGGTTTCTAATGGTGGTCTAACAATGACTGATTGAAGATTTCAAATGTGTAAAAAACACAAATCTCCAAAACTAACCGAAAGTATCATATTTTCAAATTACATAATTTACACTAAAGGTGTAAAGAATGAACACTAATTGGATAGAACTGGAAAAGAAGGTCCGAGACAGAATAGGTTAGAGAATGCTAGTCGGCGACCTTTGCTCCATTAGGGGTAACAAGCGTAAGTGATAAACTGATCAAAACCAAGCAATGTATTCACTGACTGAATTCTAATATGACTTAAATTGCTGTATTCCTGACGTAAATGTTTAAGTTATTCAGCAGTATACTTCTTAGTAGATATATAAAATCATTAAGGTAAATAATTCTCAGTAAAAAGTAATGATAATAAATAAAACTGAAGAGTTAATGGATAAATAACTAAACAAATAAAAATACCCAAGGAACACTAAAAAATAGAAAGAATTAAAATGGAAAGAACAAGAAATGAATGAGACTAAAGATGAACACACACACACACACTATCACTAGTTTTGGTCATAATTGTGATTTACAAAGCTGAATAACAGTTGTTACATTGACTGGTTCTTTTCATTTTTTTTTAAAATATATTATTTGTTCAATCCAGTTTATTCACATGAAATTACAAATGTATACATTTATATCTGAATATTTTTAAAATTATTTATTACTTATGCGAAATACAATTTATTGAATAAAACGAAAAAGAATACGGACTAAATAATGAGTGTTATCCATATGACGTACACATCGATAGTGTTTATCTCTTCTAAGTAACATAACTACTAGTTCAGATATTCGGATTGATACTATTACTACTGATTGTATTATTGCTGATGTTATAAGTCATATGTTTATTAACAGCAAAATACTTCGTATTCGTTGGTCAGACACTATCAGCAACAACGAACTGTGGGAGAGAACAAACCAGATTCCGGTGGATAAGGAAATCAGGAAGAAGCGGGGGAAGTGGATAATATACACACTACGAAAAGCACCTAACTGCGTCACGAGACAAGCCCTCACATGGAACCCTCAAGGCAAAAGGAAAAGAGGAAGGCCAAAGAATACATTACGCCGAGAAATAGAGAAAGATATGAGAAGAATGAACAAACATTGGACAGAACTGGAGAGGGAAGCCCAGGACAGAGTTGGTTGGAGAAAACTGGTGGGCGGCCTATGCTCCATTGGGGGTAACAGGCGTAAGTAAGTAAGTAAGTATAAGTCATAATTGTAATGATGACAATCTGAGAAATGTTCAAATGCTTACATAATCCATGATTATTTATATCGGTATGTTAGGCATAAAGGAGGAAACTGTTCATAAAAATTTATTTACTTTGTATTGAAATATTACATTTTATAGAAGGAATTGTCCGAAAGATAGGAGATTATTAAAACTTATATGTACAATATAGAATGATGAAAGATTATCAATCAATTATTTTGCTAATCCTATGTGAATAGTGGATGTAATCTCATATTTAGTTTAGATTTTCACCATCAGCTGATCAAAATTCAGTCAAACCCTGATCCGCTTATTTCTCAGTTCAGGAGATTGGATCGATTGGGAGAACACTTTAGGGATCAGTTCAACTGGTCTTCTGCCACACTTCAGTTACCCTCGATCCCCAGTTATCCTGAATGGCAAGCCCTCCGAATCTTTACGAAGTTGAAAAGGCTATAGGAAATCTGAAGTGAGGTAGAGCAGAAGGACCCAATAGATTGACTCCTGAGATTTTTAAGGGTGGTGGTCCAGATTTAGTAGCTAGATTCACTGAGATCTTAGGTAGAGTCCGGGAACTGGACACAATGCCATCCGACTGGTCTCAATCGCTGAATGTCCCAATTTATAAGAAAGGACAAAGGTCTTCTTGTGACAATCACACGGGAATAAGTCTAACTAATATAGTATCTAAACTGTTAGCCTCGGTTATACTTAGACGCCTAAGTTGAGGACGTGAAGCGCAGGCTGGTTTCAGACATGGACGTGGCTGTATAGACCACATCTTTACACTCAAACAGGTCCTGGAACACAGACATACATTTAGACGTCCGACAATAGTTGTCTTCCTGGACCTTAAGGCGGCATTTGAATCAGTGGATCGTGCGGTTCTGTGGCAGTTTCTGTCATTAAAAGTAGTACCCAAGAAGTACATTAACCTTATACAAGCTCTCTACAAGAACACTACAGGTTGAGTTAGAGCTTATGGATAACTGTCACCGGAATTCTCTACATCAAGTGGTGTGTGTCAGGGCTGTCCACTCTCTCCATTCTTGTTCAGTTTTGTTATAGATGTGCTGCTAAATAAAACATTATCTTCATCCGGCTTTTCAGGAGTTGACTTTCTACCAGGAAAATCGCTTACTGATCTAGAATATGCCGATGACATAGTTCTATTCGGTGAAGACGCTGACAAAATGCTGAGTCTTCTGACTATCCTAAGCAACAATGCAAACATTTTCGGGATGCGTTTTTCCTTCTTGAAATGCAAAATGTTGCTTCAAGATTGGGTTGCATCGGCACCTGCACTAGTGATAGGGAGTGAAGTAGTTGAACGTGTCTCATCAGTGCTGATGGCCTGGTGACTGACGAAATCTCAGCTCGAATACAGAAAGCTCAATTATCTTTTGCCAACCTGCGTAACTTATGACGCAGGCGAGATATGCGTTTGCTAACCAAAAGACGAGTGTACTGCGCAGCAGTTCGCTCCGTCCTACTATATGGTTGTGGAACATGGCCGTTAAGAGTAGAGGACTTTCGTAGGTTACTGGTTTTCGATCATCGGTTTCTCCGAAGCATTGCTCGAGTATCCTGAGACAACCGTATAAGCAATGATGTTGTTAGGAAACGAGTTCTAGGTAGGGATAGCAAAACAATAGATGAAGTATTGAAACTTCGCCAGTTGAGGTGGTTGGGACATGTGTTACGAATGCTCAACCACCGACTGCCCCGATAAGCTGTTTTTTGGTGCCGATGCGGTATGGCAACCTGAACTGATGTACTTACGTACGAAGTTCTGCGTTATATCTTTCTGTCTGTCCGCTCATTTCTCTGTAATATGAGTTTGAAATCCATGCTGTGACAGGGTTTTTTCGGTATTTTAAATTTAAGTGTATATGTATGCGGCTTTCATGCTCTTGATTTACCTGATGATAACGCTGATTTCCTCGAGTGTTGATAAGTTAGCATCTGTAGGTGTTGTTTTGATGTTGGGTAGGTTTAGTGGGTCCGGTCTATTCAAGAATTCTTCAAAGTAGACGCCTATTTCACTGTTTTTTGACCTCAGTGATTGGTTTGTCGTTCTCATCCTTAAATGGTCTCTCTGGTTCACAATATTTTACGTACAGCTTCGTTGTACTATACTGTCTTCTCATATTTCCTTCCCTTGCAGCTGTTTCCGCCGTCATTGTTATTAGGACTTTCACATACTTCCGCTCATTAGCTATAGTACTTCTCTTCACTAACATGTTTGCTACTGTGAATTCGGCCGTGGTTTTGGCTTTTCCTTCTCTTGTTTAGTTACTGTTGATTGCTGTACTTTTGAATCTTGTCAAGAGTATCAGCACTGAGCCATTTATGATCTTTTTGTTGAAGGTATATAGATTTGCAAACCCATCACAGTCCCTTTCTTCTTTGTTCTAGGGGATGGTCTCATGATTCTCCATCCGTGTAATTCTCATCCTTTGAGTTCTTTCAGAGCTTCTTTGGACAACATCAGTGCAACTCTTTGTGGGTACAAGGGACTATCTTTTTCATAACCAGGATACAATACAATATAAACAATTGTCCAGTTATAATAAATTTATACACTTTTGATCTTAATATTATGGTAACTGATACATTTGGGAATATATCTGTAATATTATGTCTTGTGTATTTTAAAATTGGCCTAAATAAGTATGAATAATAAATAAGCAAAATTTCTGTTTCTAAAATAATGTTCTTGTTTTAGTTGATCAATTTTTATTGAACATAATCACATACGTAATTAATATAACAATTCTATTTCTATTTGAAGATAATTTACAGTTAATTATGTTCAACTGTTTTCTATTTAGGTACAGTATTACGTTAAGATTTTCTTTGTAAAAATATGAAATCAGTTTTGTTTTTAACTCTAAGCTTCTTTTGTTTTATTCAATATAGTATATCTTAGGTACTAATTCTAGTCATTCAGTCATTGACAAATCAGTAAACACTCAACATTTGTTAGCGTTTCACACCGTGATGAAGCTGAAACCAGGACTTTCAGCTTATTTATGAGCATGTTATTTCTAGATAGCCGAATTCAAGTCCAATGGTCAACACCTCTATGTTCAGTTATGTTAGCAAATTATGGGACTTGCACACTTTGGTTCTGACATGCTGAGGCAATACTCCAATGCTCTAATAAATCTTCACGCTATTTTTATTCATGCACCAATCAATGTGAAGCCGTAGAATTATACTTATAATATGAATTAATTAAATCTACAAATAGCTTGTAAGAGGTCAAAGGTGACTTCAATTTCTATTTATTTCTATTAGATTAGAGTAAATTCATGATCAGGGTGGGGTATTTATGATTTACAACTGACCTTAAATCGATATAAAATGTCTCATAAATAACTAGATGACGATTGGTT